TATATATATATATATATATATAAGCAAAGTTGTTTTGCTGCCTAAACTGATATGTATTTATATGATAATGTAATACAAAATACATTTCTGTCAATAGGCTTCCACGTTTAACATATTTACACATATAAAAATAGTATTACTAACCGATATTTGAAGTAATTAATAATATATGTAACTAAGTCTATCATGAGAAATTGCTCTATATTTTTGTATAAAACATAAATTTAATTTGGTATATATGAGCCTGAATTCTGAATGCTCTTTATTTATTGATTTTAGTAATTCTTATTTATTGGCCGATATATATTTAAATGTGGTAAATGAACAAAACAAAATGAATACGGAAAAATACCTACTCCTTAAAATTTACTTTTTAATTCAAATGTATATATATGTAGCTTGAACACCGTGAATGTAAATCCATTTTCGTATGTATGTATGTAACCAATATTCAAAACTTTTTTTGTTCTATAAACGTTGTCGAAATACCAGATAATCTACTTATTTAAAACAAGTAAAACACATTTATTTAATTGCATGCGTCGTTATGTAAATATATTTAGTATGCTTTAGAATAACTTAGAACAAGAAAAACTTTAAAACAAGTTTAAACATACCCTGATTACACTGAAGATCAAGTTGAGCATACAAGTATTTTAGAAGACAACGCCTGGACACTATCTCAGCATGCGAGTCGTTAAGCACCGCCCCATTTACGCTCATGTGTTCGCCGCTAACACATTTTGTTCCAGTTGAAACTGAGATTACCTATTAATACACTCATTTAATCATAAATAATAATATAGTTATATTGTACTCGTACTTTAGCTTCGCAGAAATTCATATTTTCTGTCATGACTATGCCTGCCAGAACTTTTCGCCGAGAGTACGCCTCCTGGCCCTTAATTACTTCCATGAATTTTTCCAATACCAACCGTCCGATGGTATCCGCATGTATTTGTGGTAATTCCATCGACGATGACTTCTCGTCAATGGGTAATGGTGCATTTTTCTGTGGTGCCATCATCGGACTGTAAGATATATTGCACAGGGAGGCGAGTGCGGCCTTCGCGGCAGCATTCTTTGCCAATTTCTTGGAGGGCCCTACATAGAGTTAGTTTATATAATAATATATAATATAATAATAATAGCAAATAAAGCACTATACAATACTTACCTGTGCCATCGAACTTTTTATCATTTATAGTGACCGTCATTTTAAAACGACAGTTGTTTTGAGCGCCATCAATGTTCATGCATTCAAAATTAACATCGTTAAATAATTCGTACAACAACATAACGGGGCCTTTATCTGGTACTTTTTTCTGGCCATCTACGGCAATCGTACTCTTTGTGGCATCTAAAGATTGAAATAAAAGATCTCTTTGTATTATTGGAAGTAGTCATGGATCAGAAGACCTAAGTTATTAAATACCTAAACTTAAAATAACAGAGAAGGTAACTAATGGGGATTGGTATTTGCTTTTAATAAAATGTAATCAAATTATCGCGATTAGGTCCTAAAATTTGTCGGTATGATTAATATAGGTTTGGAGAAGTTTTTTTTATTATTATTATTTTTTTTTTATTTTTTTTTTTTTGATATTTTATAACATAAAGATAGTTGTAAGCCTTAAGAATGTACTTTAATCCTCACATTAATAATGCATAGTTTTCAATTTTAAATAAAATGGAATATGAACAGTAATCAAATTTCGCTTTTTAAATACTATACTGCGCTAACCTTTCGTAAAATATCATGCGTAAGGTCACAAAAAAATAAGCATAAATAGTATAGTTCCAAATTGAAATCTTTCTTAAAAGTTAACAAATCAAGATCTTCAATATAACTCTTCCAATATTAAAAATAACGAAAACACATACATATAAACGTGTAGTAAAGCCACTGAGCATAAAATCGCAAATGGAAATCGAGGACTACAAAATATGTTTAAATTACAAAATAAATATAAATAAACGTACGCAAAAAAAATTAGAAAAAAATAAAATAAAACAAATAAAATACTAGTACTTGCTGTGGCTCATGCAAAATATTTGTGGACGCAACGTGGATTGTTCAAGCGAGGTAAGGTTGGATTTCTTTTCAGGCAACATCAACGTGTAAATCAGTTCGACTAATTCTGCTTTGGACACGTTTTCAATACCATTTTCTAGATGTTCGTCACTTGTAAAATCCAAGTTGCCTGCTGGCTTCAAGGGAGACAAGACTGCGCCATCTTTAAACTGTATAAAACTGCGCAACGCTGTGGCTGCAGCCTCGATACGCGCTACCTTTTTACTACGCCCTTGTCCCATATACTTCTGTCCATCAACCTGAAATGAATCAAGGGATTAAACCAAGTTATAGCATTAAAATATGTTTCAAAGTTAAATATAACAAGTAAGAGTGGTGTAATCAGCATTGATCAACTAAGAAATGCCCCGAATCCATCAATCTTCCGATAATCATTTAATTTTAATTTAAATATTAATGACTAATTTACTAAAGTAAAAGCTTCGTCGGCTAAAAAATTGGTAAACTATTTTTAGCATGATTTTTACCATACATAAATATGCACATGCATGTCCATGTACATGTATTACTGCCTTCATGTCTTATATAGTTTATTATTGTATTCTTTGTCTATGGTCTTTCAAAACAATCACATAATGCATAGTGGCTTTGAGTTTCACAAATTTTTGAATATCATTATTTTCTATCTAGATTAATATTTTTCTATCACGGTATTTCGTTATTATTTGCTGTTTTCCTCTATTAATATAAAAGTAAACTTCCCTGCGTAAGCACTTGCTTACGTGCTTTTCTGTTTGTCTTTTTTAAGTTTGATGGTAGACAATTGGTAACATCGCCATTACATATGCAATATTCAGAAACCCTTTTGAATCAAATTTGTGGCAAGGAAGAACAAAATAATAGTTTTATTGAAATAGGTTTACACAAGTCTCTGTATTTACTAAATGATTAAGCATTTGGCATAATTAGTCCTGGATACAAAAGCTTAAATTTAATTAACTCAAAGAATTCAATGTGTTGGATGAAAGAATATTCCTCTTTGCATACATAACCTAGTCTTTTGTATGAATTGTTATCTCTCTGAAGTGACCTAATCTTTGCGATTACTTTGAACAAATATACAATTGTATATGAGCAACTTAACTGTTGACATTGTGCACTAACCTCAACGGAGATCGTAAATAGCGGCGCATGCACCGGACCAGTCTGTGACTCTAATTTGTATATCAGTCCATGCCGCAATTCGTTAAGCATCGCTACTGTATTTTTCGGTTGTGGTACACGTTCCTTGCCTGACTTCTTTTTTGGTGGCACTAGAAACAGATACACATATATTAAATTATGCTTTCATTCACTTACTCGAAAAATGTTGGCTATTTTTATAAATTCTTTATATAATTTGTTTTTTATATTTTGGAACTTACCCGCATATTTTGGCATATCATAACGCCGTTTTTGAGGAGACTTTCGATTATAGCCGTTCATGTTTCCCTCTGTTGATGTAGATATCACCTGTGCCTTTTTAGATGTAGGGTTGAAAAGGAACATATTTTAAGACTCTCATTTCGACAAATGCTAGTTTGCAATACTATGTATCATTATAAAAAACATCAAGCATTACAATACAACATTGACAATTACACAATCAAACTTGTATCCTTTCAGTTAATTTTCTACATACAGACAGACAACCATTACATAAGTGCTATTGTCGGGAATACTCGGCAGATATCGTGTAACCGTCGACGTTGAATACATAAACAGCATCTGCCAGAGTGGACTGGACAACTTGAAACTCCTTTTATATTCAATATATACATATTATATGTACATTTCTTCAGAAAAGACCAGGAGGTTCCTTGGTCTTTTGTAATTATCTGGAAAACGCATCAGTTATATAGATATTCCAAAGCTATAAGATTCAATATTTGTTAAGCGCTATAATTGATATGTTCTCAAGATAATTACAAAGGAAATGAAATACATACAAATATTTTTGTATATTTTGTTTTTTTTTTTCTCTTTTTTAAATTATATACTTATTTTGTATATTCATTAGCTCACTTTGCAATGGGAGAGTGGGGGCAGAACAAAAGTTCCCTTTAAGAAGAAACGCTGTTTTTTCGACAAGTGCCATGAGTCTGCATACAGCTGCTGCCGTTGATAGCAAATAGCAGATCGCTCGACATGCATTGCACGGTAATGCGATTTATAACACATTCGCCTAGGATTATAGCATACAGGATACATTGTCTTTCAGCAATGTAAAAAGCAAAAACAAGAATAAGAGGCAGGACAACGAAGCGAGGTAAAGAAACGCGTGCTATGCGGTTGAGCAAAAGAATTCAACTGGCTACAATTAAATTAAATTGCAGCAAAGAACCCACTGAAAGACAAGCCAATTTTTTGAGAAGTATTTATACATTTACTCATTTAAAGCGAACTATTCTCAACTGCACTTGCACTTTAGGTAAGCCCTATGGTAATTCTGCTGATTCTTTGTGGTTGATAAAACATTAAAAGTGCCAACAAAAATATATATTCATTAATTTCTAGTGTGCAGAAAGCCCCGTGTATAGCAAACCACCATTTGGAGGGATGGCCTACAAAAGTTTCTTCTTGAGTTTTCACCGAAACATTTTGTTCCTTTCATTTTGGATTCCATTTATAATTTCCCTCTGCACATCCATATTTATAATTATATATTTCAAAACATTATTTTATGCTCAAATGTATTAGTCTATATTACGAAGTAGCCTATATTTCATTACAAACTCTATTTATGGGAATCGAGATCTCGAGAAATATATATGTATGTATATGAAGAGATATACAACGTTACATGTACGTAGACAATCGAGCAGAGGAACAGCTGAATAGAGGCCCCAAACAGTAAAGGGCTAGCACGTAATGAAGGCAACGGACAGAAAATTCGCATTAAATTTTACGTTATGCTGCGATGCTTTTCAAATGCACATCGGTGCACCTGTACACCGAGTGTCAGCTGCCAGACAAGCGACAGCCGCCTGTCCTTCTAAATGTTTTAACAATAAGTTTTTACTAAATTAGACAACAAATGCACGGTAGCACCTGCCTTTTGCATCTTTTGCAAATGGATTTCACATATTGTCAAGAGAGCATGCGCCATACCAGTGGGCTGTGTTGAACATATTGACAAGCTTGAGGGCGCTGCACGCAAATCGAACGCAGGGTCGGTAAGTTATGTAAGAGCACAATGTAAAACCGTGTTTTAAAAACAGAAATAAAATTTAAAAATAATTGGCTCTCGAGCTGAAAGTGATTACCACATAGATAGAGCTCCTTAATAACACATATACTAAGCGAAAAATGATCCTTAAGATTGCAAACCATATATAAAAATATAAGCGATTCGAGATCGTAGAAATTACTATATATATGTCTAAATAGATACCAAATGAGAGTATATCATTCAATTATCAATAGTCAGACAAATATTTCTATACACTTTTCAGTCTGGTACTTTGCATAATTCTAATATCCAACACTTGATTAATTATAACTGATTAAAATAAACACAGTGTAGTTGTATCTAACGCATGTTGGATCATAACAGATTTTTTCTCCACTTTTTTTTAAATTAAAAAAAAAAAAAAAAAAAAAACAATACATAAATTAAACTTATTTCATGTTGTTTTTTTATCTTTCGTCAATATATGTTAGGCACTTGCATTACCAACTATTGTGAAAGGCTTTTTTTTTTTCAATTTAATTTTAATTTTATTTTTAAAATATTTATTTTTTTTTTTTAAATAAATTACAATTATTTTATATTATATATACTCAATAAAAAATATATATATTCATTCAAGACAATATTGAAAATAAAGGTTTTAGTTAGTTAAATATTTCTCTATATTAATTAACTTAGAAATTATAACTTATTATATTTATAAATATTATTTAGTTTGATATATACTTTATAAACTAAAAAAAATAATAATAATAATATTTTTTAACCAATTTTTGAATATATATATATATATATATATATATATATATATATATTTATTTTATATTTATTTCCTTCTTTTTTTTAAATAATTATTGTTTTTACTGGATGAAATGTAACCCTTAGTTTCAACCTTTAATATTCGCTTGAAGAAAGAGATCGTTTAATTCGTACATTTTTTTTTGCAATATGAGAAATATTTTTTATATTATTGTAATATTAAAAAATATATAAATATTATTTCTGCAGCTGCATATATTCTTTATACAACGAGTCTTTGATTAGAGTACCTTGTTTACGGCTGAGTTTTAATTTTTTTGTTTGTGTTTCATTTGTGTTTGTAAGCCATTTTTAAAATTTGAATTTTTCTTGTATTGTTGC